TAGAGAAAGAAGAGAAAAAATAGCTAAGAACAAGGTCCTGTACTTCAGTGTTTCAAGAAAGAAGTAATGGTCAACTGAGAGAGGTTAAGGAAGATGAGGAAAGGGAATTAATCTTTAGTATTTGCCTGGTAAGTTAAAAAAAATTTCAACCTATTTTTAAAAATGTGAAATATTGAAAATGTATAAAACAGAAACATACAACTCAATACATTTCTTCAACATGAACACCCATGTAACCACCACACTGGTCAAGATACAGAATATTTCCAGCAACCCCAAAGCCTTCGGTATACCCGTACTTGATCACATCTTCCCATTACTACAGAGTGACCGCTATTCTGACTTTTGTGGAAATCACTTCTTTGTTTCTCTCTATACTTTTACCATCTAAGTATGCACCCCCTTAATACTATAGTTTCATTTTGCCTGTTTTTGAACTTTATATAAATAGGATCGTAGAGTATGTTTTCTTTTGTGTCTAGCTTATTTTGTTCAATATAATATTTTGAGATTCACCCATATTGGAGTTTTAACAGATGAGTAATTTACTGATTTTCATTACTACACAGTATCCCACTGTATTACGTTGATAGAAATTATGATCATTTCCATTTGGGCTGTTATAAATAATACTGCTGGGAATATTTTCGTACAAGAACAGATATGGGCTTGCCTTTCTGTTGGGAGTGGAATTGCTAGGTTATAGAGTTTGGGTATTTTCCATTTTAGTTGATTATGCCAGTCTGCTTTCTAAAGTTGTTGTTCCCATTTATACATCCAGCAAAAGTCTGAGAGACTCATTTTTCAACATCCTCACCAACACTGGGCATTATAAGTCTCTTTAATGTTAGCCATTCTGGTGGGTATATAATGGTATCTCATATTTATTTTAATTTTTATTTCTCTGAATACTAATGGGATTGAGTGCACTCACATGTTCACTGGCCATTTTTATTTTCTGTTTTGTGACTTGCTTGTACAATTCTCTTGTCTGTTTTTCCCTTGTGTGTCTGTCTTTTTTTTTTTTTTGGTAGGATCTCTTTGTATATTTTGGATACAAGTCATTTATTGATTATGTTGCCAATATCTTTTCCCACTCTGTGGCTTGCCTTTTCACTCTGACTGATCTTTTGATGATCAAAATACTTACTTTTAATTTACCTGGTATATCTTTCTCTATTCCATTCCTTTCAATTTTTCTATGTCATTATGTTTTAGATTTATCTATTGTAAATAGCATATTACTGGAATTTTTTATATCCAATTGGAAGGTCTTTGTGTTTTAACCGAAAAATTTATCATTTTACTGTTGTTGTGATTACTGCCATGCTTTCACTTGTTTCTAACACCTTATTTTATGGTTTCCATTAACCATGCTTTTTCTTTGCCTCTTTTTTCTTCTTTCCTGCCTTCTTAAAAAAAAAAAAAATTCTCTTTATTTCTCTCTATGGGATTTAAAAATTATGTATTCTATTTCTAGTCCTTAAATTTTTAACATGATTACTTAAATTAAGGTCTAACTCTACTGAGTATTATAAATTTGAATTTAGTCCTTCGGACTTTCGTCTTCCATATTACTGTTGTGAAGTATTTTAGTTCCACCCTGCCCCCATTACTCAATATGGTCATTTTTTATAACCAGTGTTGTTTTAGATTTACCAGTATGTGTACCCGTTGCTTTGCACACCGTTCTTATATTTCTCTCTTGGTAGAAGGAGGGCAGCCCATTCCTTGTGATGGGAAAAGAGAGGACATGGGTACTGGTGCCAGGACTGGTAAGTTTGATGTAGGGTGGGGGAGATGAGGTTGTTTTCTTCTGACTGCGACTGTATTCAGAGTGAATAAGAAGCAAGGCCATCAGCTGAGGGGAGGAGAAAGGAAGTTTTAGAAGGTTTGAAGAGAGAGGAAGAGGTGTGAATAGTTGTCTTCGAGAGCTGGAGGAGAATGTGTGATCCTAATACATGTGTTCTGTTTCCCCCACTAGATCATGATGTTGTTGTTAGCTGCCATTGAGTAGATTTCGACTCATAGTGACCCCATGTGACTGAGAAGAACTTCCCCATAAGGTTTTCTTGGCTGTCATCTTTACAGAAGCAGATCACCAGGTCTTTCTCTTATGGACCTGCTGTGTGGGTTCGAACCTCCAACCTTTTGGTTAGCATCTGAGCGCTTAATCATTTGTGCCACCAGGGCTCCTTCACTAGATTATAAGCCCCTTAAAAGATGAGACAATTCTTCTAAATCTCTGCATCCCTTCTGTCTAACACCTACAATACACTCAATACAGGTTTGCTGGTGATGATAAACATAATTTAATCTCAGCAGATGGAGAATTTTCTGTGCCCCAAGGTTATAGTCGTCTAAGACAGAGTAGATTGGATTGAATTTTTACTGACCCCCAGTGCACACCCTGAAAATTAGTTTTGTTTTTTTTAACAACACTTTTTATCAGCTTTGTGTATATGCTTTGATTCTTTTTTCTGAAAAACAGAATTCAAGAAAAGCCCTGATTACCAGCCGCCTTAGTTGATTTGTCTTTGTTTTACTGGAACGGCCCTACTCAAAGGTGGCAGGAACAGTGCAGTTTGCTGGCAAAGAGAAGGGGGTTTCTCAGAGTCCTATTTAATCTCCATATCACAGACAGAGCCTCTCTGCATCACAGTTGAGAGCTGCTTGTGGTTAATTAATCACCTCAAGGTAATGCCTGAGCCAGGAGCCAAGGGAGGGAGAGGAAGGAGCTTCCATGGCTAAACTGCTCCACCTTCAAGATCTCAAGCTGGGCAATTCTCTCTGACCCTAACCTCCTGTCTTGCCTCCTCTTCTACTTCTCCTCTCCACCCTGGCATTCAGGGGAGCAGAAAACTAATCGGTTGACACCAATTCCCATCCCTGAAGTCTAGACTTCTCCTTCCTCTGGGCCAAGGCAAGGGCCCTGGGAAACACGTGCAAAATGACAGTCTCCGTCTGAAGGGTTGTTGTGCTGAAGACTCCGTGGCCTTGGCCTCCCTAGGGTGTCTTCTTGCAATTTAAGTCATCCACATCACTAAAAATCTAATCTTTCTAAATAATAACCATGATCATAGCATTGTTCTCTTTAATAACTTTCAGCCACTCCCCATTACTTAAATTAAGCACCAGTCCTCACCCTGACATTCAGTGTCATCTATAATACGACCTCACCTCACCTTGTACCGTCTCCTTCCACTTGTTATATTTACCCCGGATTTCATTATTTCCGCAACCTGCTTCACATTTTTGCATCAGCTATTCTGTCTTTGCTAATGAAGTTTCTCCAATCCTGAGCTGCCCTGTCAAAATTCTATCCTTATTTCCAAAATCACCTCCTTGATAAAGCCTTACCTGACATCCACTTGGCTATCCTTTTACCTGCTTTAAGCCTCCTTAGTGCTTTGCTTATTTTTATTTCCTATGGCTCTTAGTGTACTTTGTATCCCGGTTATTATATAATTGGCTGATCCTCCTAATAGGGTCACAAGCTCCTTGAAGGAAAGGACAGTGTGTCTCTCATCTTTGCATTCTGTTCAGGCTCTAGCTAAGTGCCTTGCACACAGGAGTTGAATTGGATAGAACTGAGGAGAGCAAAGCAAAAGAAAACCGGTGTACAGGGTATTCAAAGAAATCACTGAACCAAAAAAGACCTGGAAGAAGGACACGAAGGGCGGATAGTAGAGAAAGTGCTACCAGCCAGAGTATGGCACAGTCCTCATCTCTTTTCACATCGAGTCCTCTGAGTGATTCAGGCACTCTGCGTGCATTTCCGCTCCTCCCGTCTTCTCATTATTTCCCTCCCTACTGGGAAAATCGGTCTGTTAGACACTGAAGTCATTGCCTGAAATCGAACTCATGGGCATTCAGCATCATTTTTTTTTTTTTCCTTTTCAGAATAAGTCTATTCACACCAAGTATATATTTACTCTCTTGCTGTTCCATTACAGATAATCAATTCATATGGAACGAGAATAGGATGTCTTACGGCAAACAATAAGGTGGTTTGTTACATGCGCTTCTTGTGACCAGGGACATAACTTCATTAACAAAGGGAGTTCTGCAGCTCAGGGTGGGAGAGGACACCTCTTCCTGGCTGTGTGCTGGTGCTCAGTGCAGCTGAGAGCCACATGCTGTGCTAGCATAGCCCCTGGCCTGAGCCCCATTTGGAGCAAAGCAATTTGGGGTGAGCCAATGTTCGTGCCCAGTTATTCTCTCATGTGTGGCTCTTGCCTCAGCTACTTTGCTGTATTTTTCCACTCCTCTTACAAAAGTGGAATGGAGGATTGTCAGGTTACAGGAGTAGAGAATTTGAGGGCAGGCTTGCAAGGGTGCTGTCTCTTCTTCACTCTTAGCAAGTATCTTCTTAGTCTAAACAGAGTTGCTGTTACTGTTGTTGT